AAGCTGTCTGTGAGTCACTTTTCGCTAAAATTGATGGTTTTCCCTGCAAAGTGAAAAAACTGCTTTCCTCACTTATATGTTTAAATAGAAAAGTTTGCTAATAAAAGTTTTTGACTCACGAGACGAGAGATGTCTTGTATTATGTTCCTTTAGACAATTTTACAATAATCTAGCGGATAGGACTTTTTTCGAGTAAAAATTTAATTTGCTTGTTCTATAACCCAAACTACCCCAAAAGTGATTATCTATACTGCAAATTGGTAAAATACTTTCATTTTATTCTGAATTTATGTTGGATAACTACAACAAATAAAGTACCTACCAGAAGTATTTCAATCACAAAATAATAATTGTTTCTAGATTACTGCCTTAATAATAAAATTTCAAATTTCTTTTAATGTTCCTGTTTAATATAGACTGAAACAAAAAATTAATTATGTAGTACATCTGTTTTACATATTAAGCAAATTTCCTTTATTTTTGATACAATGTATCCATATGTAAATGACAAAAAAGCGTATTATATTCTGCCCTCAATGACAACAGAATTACTACATACTCATTAAAATTTTCTCTTTAATTTTGACATACTGTATGACCTCAAGAATCTCATTATGTCCCCTTCATAATAAAAAATTCTGTATTTTAAATGGTTTTTCATTACTTCGATTTATTTATTTTTTTCTTAAAGCAAGATACAACAAAATACAACATCAATATCGGCTGACTGGGGAACAAGGACCTGCACATAAAAAAATTTTCACGGTTACATTAAAGCTTGGTAGTGAAGAGTACGAAGCGGAGGGGCCAAGTATTAAGAAAGCTCAACATTCCGCTGCAGCTCAGGCATTGACAAAAACTGAATTTAAGCACCCACCACCCAAAACTATTAGAAATCGACCAGGCACCAGGCCTACAAACCCAGGAGTTGTTACTCCTACAGTAGAGTTAAATGCTCTAGCAATGAAAAGAGGAGAACGTACTGTATATGTCGTTGAAAATGGAGGAGCACCACCACATCAGGTAAGCGGACTATTACAATAGGCTCATTCCATGTCAAGTGATTTAATTATCAGGAAAAATTTTTAGTTACCATCTCCAATCTTGCTGAAATTTGAACAAACTGGAAAATTTTAAGTGCTACTGTTATGGAACCGCAGTTTTTATGTTAATTGGATAGTTTATTTTTTTTCTCTGCAATTTGCCTGATAATTACTATACAGGATTCCATTTTCACAGCTGGCTTAAAATTAGTAAGTGAGCTTACCAGCAAAGAACGCTTATTTCTAATTCGAACAACATTTGCCTGCATCACGAAGCAAAGTGTCTAATAAATTTGCAGAATGGAATCCTGGGTAGTGGTACATTGAATTTTCACTGTTCTCTATGGTGCAGTTAGGTGGGTTTCCATGATAAAAGGCTTGTTTATAGCAAATTTCAATACAGTAAGACCCCGCTAAACGCGTAGGATACGTTCCATCAAAGTAGAGCGTAATGCGAAACAGCGATAAACAAGGCTATCTTAACATGTAAATAATGGGGTTAGGGGAAGATGGATAGAAAATTGGTTAGGTATTAAATTTAATAATTATGTTTTTTTTTAATAAAAATAAAACCAAACATTTATTTCTTACAAAAATAAAAACAATATAAACGAATATACTTATAAAAACAAATAAAAGTCAGTCAGATGATTCAGTCTATTGTGTTTCCAATTTTCTGCCTTTTTGTCAAGAAGGCATCTAATGTAGTTTGCGTTTTCCTTTTGCGTTCTGTTAGAAGTTGTTGATAAGTGGATAAAGCATCTATAACACCCCGTCTTGCTTTTGAACTGCTGTCAAAATTTGGATCATTTTCCAAATTCAATGCAGCACTAATTTGAGATTGACGTTCACCAGAATCTGATCTTCTAATCACTTGCATTTTAGTTTCCAGTGAAATGCTTTTTCTGGTTGCTTTCTTTTCTTGTTTTCCATTATCACCCATGATAAAAACTAAAGATCATAATATTTGTCACTGTATTAATCGTTGTAGTATTATATAAATTTATACTTACAATAATATCAACAAATGTTTCAACTGATAAAAATGCGTCCGTACAGCACCGCACCAATCAAGATACACAACTACACTGTTTCGGATAGGTTATGTACATATTTGGAAACCTAGCGCTGCACACAATTTCGGGGAATCCCCGTAGTGCTGCGAGCAATTTCGGGGAATCCCCGGGTTGAAATAAAAGAGCGCTAAACCGAAACAGCGCTAAACGAAACAGCGTTAAGCGGGGTCTTACTGTAATTGTATAGTGAATGTCTATTATAAATTTCAATAATTGTATTGTAAATATAAGGCTAATTGCAGTAAAGGAAACAGATTATTCAATTAGTGTAAAAATTGGGTAGTGGTAGGTTATACAGTCCTTTTATAAATGCCCCAGGTCCCACGTGACTGCGACTGTTAGGCAACCAAACTTACAATGGAATAAATGATTAACACAAAATTCCCTAAAGATAGATGATGAACTTTCATCTGCAAAATATGTTTCTTTTTCAATAGAAAAAAAGTCATTTACATTTTTACTTACAAAATAATCGTACCCCACATTTTGAATTTTTATCCCAAAAATGCGTTCAAGTTCATTTGGTGTTATAATGCTTATTTCATGTTTAATTACTGCTTCCAGCTATTCAAGTATATGCATAGGATGTTTAAATATTTTATTTTTGATATTTTGCCAAATATAAAAATCTAAAGGCATGAGATTAGAGCTTCGAGCAGGCCACAAACCCCTAGTAATCAATCTATCACCATAAAATTTCTAAAGATATCTTATAACTCCTGCTGTAGTAAGTGCTGTGGCTCCATTTTGTTGAAAATATCCATGCTACAGTTCATCGTCATGTATTAATTCCAAGGCTTGTTGTAAAATGTTATGGTATTACGAAAATGTATTACTAAATGTATTACTAATGTAATTTATTACTTCTCGGAAAAAATTGGGGCCTATTATCCGTCTTGATTGAAACTACTACCCAAATACTTATCTTCTGAGGATGTAACAATGTTTTAATAAAATTATGCGGATTTTTTGCAGTCCAAGTTCTATAATTCTAACTATTTACATAACCAGATAAATGTACCGATGCCTTATCGGAATAAAACATGAAATCTATAAATTATCGTCATTTAAATGTTCATTAAACCATCGACAATATTGTACTCGGTTGGAATCAGGAATCAGGTTGGAATCTCTCTCTCAACAGAAACCTTATGCATATATAGATGCTTCTTTAATGCCTTGTGACAAGTTCCAACTGATAACTGATCGTTAGCCGCATGGTTTAAGGCGTCAGTACTTAAATCGTGTGAAAATTCTGCCCGGGTTCGATTCCCGCGGTCGGTAAACCGTAGATTAGCTATGCTTGTACGGAGGATTGGCACCATCTGTGCAGGTATGGTATGGTGGAAGAATGTTGGCCTGGGTCAATGTGAGAGATTGACACCGCATTTGACCACCCCCCTAATTAATGAGGTTTTCCAGGTTTCCCTCATTCCTGCACTGAATAGTGGTTAGGGCCTACCAACATAAGTCGTTCCTGGGCGCAAATGCGGCCTGCCTAATAATAATGTGCCGCCTCCTCTCTTGCACAAGTCTCCGACTTATGGGCTAATTCTCGTAGTTAGAATGAGGAGTAGAGATATTATTATTATAACCAATGGACATATCAATATAATATGTATAATTATTTCTTGTAAATACACAAGTTAACCAGCATAAAGCTATAGGATTTTATATGTTGATAAAAAAAAATACATTCTAATAGTATTAAAAAATTTTCAAAATTATTTCATTAACTATTTTTCAACTTTAACTTTAGGTTAAAAAATTTACATAATTCAAACTATATTAAGTTTATCGCAGTACCTGTTTGATTAGATAACTGTTTCTTAAGACTGCACCATCTGTTATCGAATATCTTTAACGTTTTCTGTTAAAACAGTAGGTTTGCTTGTTGATTTGCCCTTACAAATGCAATGTTTTTTCTCATATCTTTTAATGATTAATTTGTGGTTTGTACACATCATATACGATATTAGTATAACGAAACGCTTCAACAAATCGTTCCATACAGGATTGCAAAGAGTAAGACCAAGTTCTATGTGTTCCATGTACCACTGCGAAAATGTGCCACCAAAATAAATACGGCTTCAGGTGTAAACTGCAGTTTTACACAAATCTACAAGAAATAACAATGTAAAAAATGAACATAACCATAAAATATTCATTTAACTTACGAAAAAACAATGAAAGACAATGATTAATTTGTAAAAAAGCACAGAAATACTGATAAACCCTGCCAAATTGTACAAACAGTAACACGAAAAATTACGAACGCCTCTGGATTGGCATTTCATCTAGGGTCCTAAGTTGGTAATTTGTTCTTGACCTTCGGCTTCGCAGTCGTGAGTTTAGAAAATGAGCTACGGCGATCTAACGCTGGGTGGAGCCTGTACGGGCTATTTGAAACGTTGGTTCTCCGCGAATGTAAACAGAAAATTGAAAATGTTCAAATCAAGTTTTGTCGCCAAAATTGCGTCTCTAAAAGGTCGGAACCGCTGCCTAACGGCAATGTAAAGACTCACCGAGAAAACATGTCAAATGACAAAATTTATTTTGACGTCTCCAGTGACGTTTGTCTCCATCTCTGTTTAAATATTGGATATATTTCGGGTATCTCTCTCCTACCGAAAAAAGTAAATTTTCGGCGAGGACTCTTTTTAAAGTGGAAATTTCACATAAAATATGCGCGAACAGATTGCCTTCAAGATACGACGTTTGGATAAAGGAAGGACCGAGGGGCCGCTGTACGGTGCTTTCCTTGCTGGTTAGAAGATATAACATATTTTGAGACAACCCGTACTTTAGTTTATAAACATTTTGTATATGAAAGTCATCAACATCGTAACTTCATAATTATCAGTATTATCGTCGTCATTAACTCATCATGAAGTCATCCTCATCTTTTCTACCTTCATCTCCATCCTCATCTTAATCTCTATCTTCATATTAATCGTCATCATTATCGTCATCGTTATCGTCATTTTTATCGGCGTTCTAATCTGTCCGTAATTCAGACTTTCAATTATGTAGAACATCCATTATATGGATTTTCAAAGAAAGCGTCTGGTTAGTAACTGTATAACTTTTTATCAAGAGATTTCAACAAATAATGTAGGAAAGTAGGTAGTTAAATGAGAAAAAAATCCGCGCGAAAAAAACGCCGCCGAAATACCCCTATCAGATAAAGGCTCCCGGAAAAAACCTTAAGTCCGGCAAATCACCCCTTTTCGCGACCGAGATTTTCATAAATAGCCGTTCCCGGGACGTCGCGTCTCTGTTCCTCGCGAAAAATCGCAGGACGTCGTCGAGGAACCCGCGGAAAACGGAAATTTACCCGGGAAAACGCGATGAAAACGCCACCGAAATACCCCTATTAGATAAAGGAGGGACGTCGCTTCGCGGCTCCCGCAAAGGTCCTCAGGTCCGGCAAATCGGGCCTTTTCGCGAGCGAGTGTGGGAGCGAGAGGAGATTGCAGATTTTAAAGATATAGAATTAAATTAATTATTAAAATACCTATTACAGTAGTTTGCTGATTTTTTTATTGTTAATAAATAGTGCACCTGCTTCATTAACAATTTTTAAAAGTATTATTATTAGTTTTTTTCGTTAGTAGCTTCAGATATTGACTGATGTAGTTTTTTTAGATTATTTTTGTTATCTCCAATTCGTCTAAGGTAATGTAATTTTTTAATTTTTTAACAATTTATTCAATATGCATTTATATTCTTGCTCTAATTGTGGAGGAAAATATAATATTTACTTGTTTTTTATTGTTATCTCTATTTTTTTTTAGTAATTAGACTAGGATAATTTTTTTACCTTTTGTGGTATTAGTTGTATAAATTTTTGAGAAGAAGACATAATTACTTACTTTAAGTTTTTGCAATTTCTACTTTTCCTTTCAAAGTCTCAGCAAAAGTAAAATTTGAATAATTAAAACTTTCAGTTCATACATTTTTAGTTTTTCTTGCATCATTTCATTATTTGATCTTTATATTTTATTATTACTTTTTGATGTATTGTATACATTTCACAAATTCATGGTTTCTACATTTTTTTGCAATAGAACTTTAAAACATGTTTTTGTAAAGTCAAACATTTTATTTCTAAAGGTATCACAGAAATGTATGGAGTTTTTGTCTCCTTTACGGGTTATTTTATCAGTTTACATAAGAAAAAACATTCTAAGCAGAGTATTTATATTTTTATTCACTTTACTGATAGAAATAAGTAGTTCATAAACAGATAAAAAACTTTTCACACACTTTTTTTAACACAAGTTTGAACCAAATTGCTGTTTATATGAAAACTACTTTAGATACTTTAGATAGATACTTTATTTTTAAATGGTCAAAATAAACTATTCACATTCCTTTGTCTTTGAGAACAATTCTTTCTAAAGAGCCATTATACACCAATAATTTGGAATATGATTTTATGTGCCATTGCATTGCCGCGTTAAGAATATGATGCATGCTAGTTAAGAAGTTAAAGATTTTAGGTGATACATATAGACAGACAGCAAATATTCCTGTGTGAACGTTCACTAGCTAATATTCTTAAAATTCACGAAAATTTGTTTATGCAAGCGTGGAGCCAGAATAAGAATTACGTGTTCTTTTTTTATATACAGGGTGGCACAAAAGTATGGAAGCCCCTGAATAACTCGTCAGGAGTGCATTTTCTTGAAAAATGATAGATACAAAAGTTTTAGGATTTTTCCCTGGCTATTCCGCAATAAAAAATAAGGGTTCCCATTTGAAGAATCAATTTTGACCTTGAAGGTCAAGGTCGAATACAAGGGCGCCATTGAATAGCCGGGGAAAAATCCTAAAACTTTTGTATTTATCATTTTTCAAGAAAATGCACTACTGACGAGTTATTCAGTGGTTTCCATACTTTTGTGCCACCTTGTATATGATGCAAGCAGAAAATACTGTAAGGCAGAACTGCAATCCCGGTTGACACACTATGTGTTTGTGCTGCTGCCGCACAATGGCAACAACTCAACCACATGGTATATAACTGACCGTTTTTTTAAATGGGTAAAGAGTTGTTACGTTTTGAATTCAAATTTATCGAACAATGTATCGGGGGACCGTTACTTATATGGGACATTCCATGACAACCGGGACACCGTTCTCTCCAAAAATAAAAGCAAGGAAAAAATACGTTTAAGGTCTCAAAATGTTCGTATATTCAGAAGATTTCGAATAAACGATGGCCATTTTTGGGAAAATTTCGAAATTCAAAATGGCGTCCACAAAATGACTATAATTAGAAATTAAAAAAAAATATATCTCAGTATCTAGACTCAAATCATATATCTATGGAAAATAACCCAATCTAATAATAAGCTTCACGATTTTGGATATGCTGAATCCTAATTTAAAGTCCAGAAGTGGTAGGAGTATTATTAGTAACAGACATTTTTGACCATTTTTTTTGGTTTTTAGACCATATCTCTCTGGAAAAAAGGATTTTTTGTCTAAAAGTAGGTTTTTTTTATATTTTTTGAGGTACTGACTTTGAGTTATTGGATTATGAAGTCTAAAAAAAATTAGGACAATTAAAACGGGCCATTTTTTGGCTTTTTGACCATATTTCTCAGGAAAAAATGATAATTCTCTATAAGAATCTCTTTTTGCAGACTAATAAAATTTGAGTGATGTGATCTGACCATTTTATTTTACCATTTTTTGGCATTATTTGACCACATCTCTTGTAAAAATTAAATTTATCTAGAAAAAGCTGTTTTTATGTTTTTTGACATCATAATTTAGATTATTGGGATCTTAAAGTACAAACAAATTTGGGTTGTAAGAGCTGGCCATTTTTTGACAATTTGGCACTTAGGAAATTAATTAGGTAAGTTTAAATTACTGGCGTTCCAATTAATTAGGCATTTTGTTTTGGATCTTGACGGCTTTGGCTATGTTGGATTTAAGGTCATTAGGTTTAGAGCTTGATGCCAAAAAATGCCAAAATATTATCAAAAAATGTTCCTACAACCCAAAGTTTTACTTTAGGATCGAAATTAAGATGTTAAAAAAACATAAAAACAGCTTTTTCTAGCCAAATATCATTTTTACCAGAGAAATGTGGTCAAAAAAATGGTAAAATAACATGGTCAGATCCCATTACCCATTTTTTTTTTAAATTCAAGTCTTTCTTCAAAAGTCATAAAGTCTATTTTCCAAAGAAATAAGGCCAAAAAATGGTCAGATCTCATCACTCAAATTTTATTAGTTTTCAAGATAACAAAAATCTAAGTCAGTATGTCTACAAACATAAAAATAGATTCTTATTAAGAATTATCCTTTTTTCCGGAGAAATATGGCAAAAAAAGCCAAAAAATGTCCTGTTTTAATTGCCTTAATTTTTTTAGTCTTCATAATTCAATAACTCAAAGTCAGTACATCAAAAAACTTAAAGAAAGCTACTTTTAGACAAAAATTTCTTTTTTTCAGAGAGATATGGTCTAAAAACCAAAAAAAAATGGTAAATGGTGGTAAAAAATTTATGTTACTAATAGTGCTACCACTTTTGGACTTCAAGAATATGAAATTCGGATTCAGCTTGGCCAAAATCGTAAAGCTTACCCATTAGATTGGGGTATTTTCCATGGATAGATGATTTTAAGCTAGATAGTGAACTATTTTTTTTAATATCTGATTATAGTCGTCATTTTGTGGACGTCATTTTGAATTTCGAAATTTTCCCAAAAATGGCCATCGTTTATTCGAAAGCTTTTGAGTATAGGAATAGGTATAGCCTTCAACGTATTTTTTTCTTGCTTTTATTTTTGGAGAGAACAGTGTCCCGGTTGACATGGAACATTCTATATATACTAATTCTATTACTTTTTTATTTTTCCCTTATGGAGGCATTACCTCCTCTACTTCCTTTGAAGGTTCAGCCTGGACAGTTAAAAGTCGAGAGCTAATACATTCAAAATACATTCGCTACAGAACTATTAATTTTTCAACAAGAAATATATTAGTTTTGTTAATTTTAGGGTTACCTTACTCAGCCAAGTTATTATCCTAGACACAGCATATACAACACCCAAACTCAGCCACAGAGATATGGATATGATACTCGCAGAAATATTAGGGGTCATTATCCATATCATGACAGTCGTTACTATGGCCAGTTTCGACCAGGGGCACCACATAACCCAGGAGATCCATATACCGTTCGGTTAAGAGTAGGGGAAAGAGAATATCCCGGTCAGGGCTATACTGTTCAAGCAGCGCGCCATGATGCAGCTGCGAAGGCTATCGAACACATAAAGCAGCTAGGTGAGATTTTATGTTAGAAAATATCAGTTTTTAATGATTGTTTTAAATTGTATTACATTTAGTGCATTAGAAACAGTTTCCAACAGTCGGATGCAATTGCATTTGATTCAAAACAATCAATTTAGAACCTAATGTAAGCATTATATCAGAATGCACATGCGTATGACCCTTGAAAACTGGTTTAGGAACAAAGCTATTAAAATTAGTAATATGTGTTCCAAAAAAATGTAGCGTATAAATGTGTATTATTTTTAAATGGAGTGTTATAACTATTAAGCTCATGTAAATTTCAGTGTTTCTATCACGATTTATTTCTTTATGTTTTACAAAGATATTTTGTTAGGTATATTTCATATGAAAATAGTTTGAACACATATATTTCATACAGTGTCCATTTTTCCTGAATTTACAGTTTTTTTTCAAAAGGGCCCCCAATAACTTATATTTACTATTAAGTATCAATAATTTAGGATATATAAATATGTCAGAAGTCAAAATATAGGGTCAGCTGTTTTGGGCTAGAGCAGATAAGCCGAGAGGTTGTTTACGCTCTTGGTTTTGATGTTAAATCCTCAGTGGTGATATCTCATTGTCAGATTAAATTTCAATGCCTTGTATACCAATGACCGTTTTTGTTTTGTGGGTTCGTAGATGTAGAGCGCCATCTCCACTGGGATAACAAAGAAAATTTTGCTAAGTGATCCTTTTTCTAGTCCTTTTTCTATCGGACTAAAGTAATAACTTTATCACAGTTGAATTTGAACTAATTCTTAGTATCACAGTCGTGTAACAACTATTCAAAAGCTGGATAGGAAGTGAATTCCGATCGAAACTAGATCAATATTTATATGTTTTTTAGTTTTCATTGCGTTTCAAATAAATAAAGTTTTAAGATGTAGTTTTTGTATCTAGCCAATCGGAGACCGTTTTGCGCACCCTCGCTTCATATAAATATGCTACCATATTTAATTCGCGCTGGGCTGAATTCTTTGCTCATTTCTAGGGAGGCCGCCCTCAGGACTACAACAAGGTCCACTAGATTGAAGATGAGGGACAAATGATCAGTTCAGTAAACGAATTTTTTGCATCCTTATTGTTGATTGTAAATTCGGTATTAAATAAACAGTGTTTTAACATATCGCATAGGAGAATCTTAAATGTTTATATGGAATGTTCCATATATACCGGGACACCGTTCTCTCCAAAAGTAAAAGCAAGGAAAAAATACGTTTAAGGTCTCAAAATGTTCGTATACTCAAGAGCTTTCGAATAAACGTTGGCCATTTTTGGAAAAATTTTGAAATTCAAAATGGTGTCCACAAAATAACGACTATAATTAGAAATTAAAAAAAAAAATAGTTCAGTATCTAGCCTCAAATCATGTATCCATGGAAAAAACCCCAATCTGTCTAAAAGTAGCTTCTTTTATATTTTTTGACATACTGACTGAGTTATGGGATTATGAAATCTAAAAAAATTAAGGCAATTAAAACGGGCCATTTTTTGACCATATTTCTCCGAAAAAAAGAATAATTATAAGAATCTATTTTTATATTTGTTGACATACTGTAAAAATGATATTTGTCTAGAAAAAACTGTTTTATGTTTTTCAACATCATAATTTTGATTATTGGGATTTAGGTTTAAATTACTAGGGTTATTAATTTGACATTTAGGCAATTAAAAGTAGATATGTTAAGTTTACAGTTGTTAGGTTTGGTGCTGATCACCTTAGGCCAAAAAATGGTCAAAAAATGGCCAGTTCCTACAACCTAAATTTGTTTGTACTTTAGGATCCCAATAATCGAACATATGATATCAAAATCATAAAAACACCTTTTTCTAGACAAATATCATTTTTACCAGAGAAATGTCCAAAAATGCCAAAATTGGTAAAATAAAATGGTCAGGTTTCATCACTCAAATTTTTTTTATATTCAAGTCTTCAAAAAACCAGATAGTCAAAAATATAAAATTGGCTTCTTCTAGTAAAATATTCTATTTTCCAAAGAAATAAGGTCAGATCTCATCACCCAAATTTTATTAGTTTCCAAGATAACAAATGTCTAAGTCATACTGGCTTAGTCAACAAACATAAAAATAGATTCTTATAGAGAATTATCCTTTTTTTTTTCGGAGAAATATGGTCAAAAAGGTCAAAAAATGGTCAAAAATGACCCGTTTTAATTGTCCTAATTTTTTTAGACTTCATAAGGGTACAAACATGGTGGCATGACGAGGCTTCAGTGTCAGATAGAGTCTAGAGGCAAAACTTGCAGCTATGTGTGTGTCTCCTGTAGGCCTCGAGGAGGCAAATCTGCATTCCTATTCACGCGTCTACGCGATTTTTAATAAATTTCATTATATTGGTACAATTAATATCTTTTATTTAACAAAGATGTACCTACTATGTACTTGGAACCAATGTCACCCTAATCATTGTAATGGATAAGTTACGAGATTAGGTATCTTTTGAATTTCAATGAATAGGTATAAAATTTCATTTGTATTTAAAAGAAATATTTACTCTTCGTACTTCTTTATTTGTGAGCGTATGTCAATATGTAGAGTTTAGTATAATAGGGCTATGCAAGTTTTAAATGAACATACTTCGAGGAGTAACAAGTCTTTACAAACTAAAAGATAATTTGTTGCGTACGTACCTAGTGTGTAAAAAAATATCAGTTTTATTTGTTCCAAACAGAAAGAAATCCAAATAAAATTTTATGTATTACAAAATTACTAACCAGCGGAGGAGAGACGGGCTATCGTCTACGTAAGCGATAAAAAAAATAGTACGTCCTGTACAAAATCTAAATTGATCACACTTTTGCATGTAGCTTGTAATTTTCAAAAAATAAATTTTCTGTTTTCTCAATTTTCTTTTATTTGTGATTTTGCAGGGAATCGAAGAAAATGTTAAAAAATAATCGGCTAAATATACTTCCAAATCGAATCTGTTATCTATTATATACAGTGCGTTCCAATTTGAAACTCGAATTTTAGACTGCATTTACCGATTCAATTTTTTTAAAGGAATCTACCTTCAGTGTTTAAAAAACTGCGAAAAATGACAAAATCGAATCGGGCATTTTTTTTGGAAGAAAACGTTTAATAGCTTAATCGATTTCTACGCATCTCAAATCTAAAATTAAGAAATGTAGAGCGTTTGTCATAATTTCTAATAAATTATAATTTTTTTAATGCATAGGGGGCAAAAATAAATATTATTTCTACTGCAGCTTATGCTATTATTCAGTTTTATAATAAATTATCCCAAGATCGATGTGATTAAGGGTAGGTAAATAAGGAATCGAAATTGCAGAATGGAACGACGGCTTTTCTGCATTAGAGATTGTTATAATTTTCATTCCTTCTAAAATAAAGAGCACATAATAATATCATACTCTTTCCATTATGTAATAGCAAACACATTTCAACAGGGCATTAAAAAAACTATAATTTATTAGAAAAGGTAATTTCTATAACAAACGCCCTGTATATGCTATCGAAGCGATATTTCAGACTTGGTATTTAAGATGCATAGAAATCGATTGAGCTAACGTTTTCTTAAAAAAAATTATATAATTAAATGTTGCTAAGTCCATCCTCGTATACTCAAAAAAACGCTCAGAATATTTTTTTAATTCATATCGAAGAGCCGATGGTATTCTCCTAATACATTTCTTTTTTTATTAAGATCGTGCGCACTACACCATCTACTTAGTAATATTACTTTTGCCGCACAACTGCCCAAAATAATATCGTCCTCACTGTCTGAATACATTTTTGTCAATAAGCGTTATTTTCAATCGTAAACAATCTGATGCGTTGACCACGAATTCCAGAAGTCGCCCCGCATGTTGACGCGCCACTATGAACGCCTTGTCGCATGCGTCTTTTGCTTCATAGTAAGACTCTATCTGACACTGAAGCCTCGTCACGTCACTATGTTTGTACCCTAATATAATAACTCAAAGTCAGTATGTCAAAAAACATAAAGGAAGCTACTTTTAGACAAAAATTTCTTTTTTTCAGAGAGATATGGTTTAAAAACCAAAAAAAAATGGTAAAAAATTTCTGTTACTAACAGTCCTACCACTTTTGGACTTTAAGAATATGAAATTCGGATTCAGTTTGGCCAAAATCGTAAAGCTTAACCATTAGAGTGGGGTATTTTCCATGGATAGATGATTTTAAACTAGGTACTGAACTATATATTTTTTTAATTTCTAATAATTATAGTCCCCATTTTGTGGCCGCCATTTTGAATTTCGAAATTTTCTCAAATATGGCCATCGTGTATTCGAAAGCTCTTGAATATATGAACATTTTGAGACCTTAAACGTATTTTTTCCTTGCTTCTATTTTTGGAGAGAACGGTGTTCTGTTTGACATGGAACATCCCATATATATTTTAATTATGGATCTAATTCACAATGTAAATGTGTCTAGTGAAAATTATTTTTTGAAATTACAAATATTTACATAGAAATATATTTTTTTAAGTCTGTTAAACTAATATACATTTTGAGAATTACTATCCACATGGAAGGTTGTCCTAATTATTTATGCACGCTTGCCAATGTATTGTGAATTTAAATTAAATTGTGCAGCAGTCTTAATTCAAATTTTAATTATATAATAAACGAAATCCTAAATGTTATTAATTACAGGTTGTACGCAGTAAAGTGTATTGCTGTTTAAAATATAGGGAGCAAATAGATTATCATCTAAACATTAATTATGATACGTGGGATTTTGGAAATGTAAAAACAGAAAATAAATTGAGGCACAGCTGACGGTGTGTTTTTCACAGGTGTGTCATGCATGCTGTTTCTCTTCCACTCAGTGGGGTAACTTAATTTAAAGAGAGCAAGAAAACGCCAGAACTTAAGGAAGGTTTTTAATAACAATAGATAAAATTAAAGTAGGTAACCAAAACAATTAAGGATTGTGCAAATAACATAATGAATTCAAATAAATGGTACCAATACCTA